GACACATGGCACCAGGTGTAACAATCCCCAACTTGAAACTATACTACAAAGCCACTGTACTAAAAACAGCACAGTACTGGCAAAGAAACAGACCTGAGGATCAGTGGAACAGACTGGAAGACAAAAAAAACAAATCCAGATGTACTCAGCTACCTCATCTTTGAAAAATGAGCTGACCATCCCCACTCAAGGAAAGATAGCCTCTTTAATAAATGATGTTGGAAAAACTGAATCTCAACCTGCCAAAAATTAAAACTAGACCCTTATCTTTCACCATATACTAAACTAAAATCCAAGATTAAAGATCTAAATATTAAAACAGAAACAACTCATTGGAAGATAAGTTAGGCAAAACTCTTAAAGACATTGGCATAGGAAAAGACTTTATGAACAAATCCTCAGTAGCATGGGAACTAGCAGAAAGAATCACCAACTGAGATCTCATCTTACTAAAAAGCTTCTGCACTGCAAAAGAAACCACCGACAGAATTAAGAGACAACCTACAACATGGGAAAAAAATTTACCACCTGCTCCTCAGACAATGCACTATTATCTAGAATATATAAAGAACTCAAAACAATAACCTCCCCAAATATAAAGACTCAATTCAAAAATGGGCACCTGAAATGAACAGATATTTGTCAGACAAAAAAGTAAAAGCAGCAAGTAAATATATGAAAAAATGCTCCACATCACTGGTCATTCAAGAGATGCAAATGAAAACAACACTAAGATTCCACCTCACCCCACAAAGAATGGCTGCTATCAAGAAATAAAACAATAACAAATGTTGGCAGGGTTGTGGGGAGAAAGGAAGCCTTCTCCATTGTTGGTGGGAGTGCAGGCTGGTGCAACCACTATGGAAATCAATATGGAGATATCTCAAAGAGCTGGGACTAGAGGTCCCATTTGACCCAGCCATCCCTCTGCTTGGTATCTTTCCAAAAGAATTAAAAGAATCATATCACAGAGATATATGCACACCCATGTTTATAGCAGCACAGTTTGTAATAGCTTAAACTTGGAAACAGCCCATTTGCCCATCAATTGGAAACTGGATAAGAAGATGTGGTTTTTCTATAAAATGGAATACTACTCAGCGATAAAGAATGAGAAATTAGATTCATTCATAGGAAAATGGATACATATTGAGGATATACTACTAAGTGAAATAAATAAGTCACACATATGTAAACATTGAATAGTTTTGCTGGTGTGAAAAAATTATAATAGTACCTAACGTCCTAATGATATAATTGAAACTCTGAAATAGGAAGAAAAGAGCTAAAGGTGTAGGGAAAGTGGGAAGCATAGGGGAAAGGGAATAAGGGAAAAGAAAAAAAAAATGAGAAAATGTACCAATAAACTCAATTAAAGTGGCTAAAAATATACTCTTGTAGCTTTGGGATTTTGAATTGATGAATATTCATGATGTGTAGAAAAGCATGACACAAAATGTCCAAATTCAATCACAAAATGGCACATCATCTGTGTACATGCAAGACCTAAAAGAACACATACAGTTAAGCGGCTTATGATTGAGAATGACTTTGTTCTTTGCTTCTTGTGTTTTTGTTTCCTGCAATACATATATTAACTTTAAAAAAGTACAAATTATTTTTAAAACTCAAAAAAATTATCTTCTGGAATCTGAGAAAACACTTTAACAAAATATTAAATTATCATTTCCCCAATAATGACATGCAAAGCAACAGAATGAAGACATATAAGAAGTACAAGGCTAATAATTTGTTGAAAATTTTTAAACTAAACAAACTCACCCCAAAAAAGCTGAAGTCTCTTGTATCATCAGTGAAGAGTCTTGCTGTTTATAGTGATAATAGACATAATGAAGGTGCCTTCTATGACAAAAGACTTAGGTAATGGGTAAGATATACAATTTTACATTTTTATATATCTAAAATCATTGCCTTGTAGTATATTTTAAATGTTTGACATATTAATAATGAAAAAAGACATTTATACTAATAATGAAATGTCTTAAAGGAGTAATAAGTGCATTAAAATATGCAACTACCAGTGTGTATCACTGAAATATTTTTACCTACTAACAATTTATAAAAGAAATAATCCTTAGTTATTCTAGATTCTCAGATTTTAAGGTTTTTTTGTTTTGTTGCTTTTTTTTTACTCCAGTTTAACAAACTTTATTGCTAATAAATGAATTAGCCACACTCATTAGCTAAAAAGGAAAAGAAAATCTTTTCAACTTGGCAATAAAAAAAAATCATTGCTGAGTTTTAATACACAAGACTACAATTGGAAATGTGGAAGAGATAGTGAGTCAAGAATATAAAACAAGTACTGAGGTGCTTCTCATAAAGAGTTATGGTGTAGTGGATGGAATAATGGCCACACAAAAGTGTCCATGTCTTAAACCTATTACCTGTGATAGTATTATTTTATTGAGGAAAAGTGACTGTGCAGAGATAACTGAATAATTTAATAAGGGGAAACTATCCAGTACTATCTGATGAAACCCCTAAAGACAAAGGGGGCAGGGGCAAACAGACCTAAAGAGGCCATGCAGATGGTTTGAAGATAGAGGGATAAGGTCATGAGCAAAGAAATTGGGGTTGCTTATAGCAGAGGGAAACATCAGGAAAATAGCAGGTCCCCTGGAGGTTCCACAAATTAGCATGGGCCTTTGATATACGAATTCCACCCACTGAGAGCAATTTTACACATCTGATTTTTTAAAGTCTAAGATAAATTTTTATTTGTGATGTTATTAGAGCAATGATAAAGAACTGAAGCAAATATTTTAAATGCCAGAAATGTGAAAAAATCATAATAAATATTTATATTTTTATATCTTTAATAAAACTGTAACAAGAATAAACCACAGATAAAACTAAAATAGTCACAGAAAGCTGAAATCACATTGTAAATGGTATTTGCAGTGAAAAAGCCTTTGATTGTTTAAAGGTATAAAAAATGTATAAACTCACTTATCTGTATGTCTATAAACTCAATAAAATTTAAAAAAAATGTATAAACTCAAAAATTAAATCAGAGAGATTTAAATTCTATTAATTTCTTCTAAGAATAGAGTAAATGTTATGAAAATCATAAAATATTTCATTCATCATTTAGTAAACTCAATACTTAATTAAGAGTGTGGGTTGATTTTATCTTACATAAAATGAGATCACTGATATTTGAGAGATTTACATATTTAAACCTCACTGCATTTTTTTAACCAGATTGTGCTTTTGTTGTATTTATACATTTTCCTGCCACTTCTACAAATGAACTAAGTTATTTAATAACCATTACTCTGTTCTTCAAGTTTTGTTTTGTTTTGATAATTAATCTCAGATTGATGGATTTTGTTGGTACCTACATCTACAGAAAGGAGTGGAAGTGTGGGTGTATTAATTCCATGATTTTATTTCTCACTGAGGAGAACTTTACCCGGTACAATATTATTAAGCCAGTCTCTTCTTTTCAGAAATATTTTAGCATGATTTCCTTAGTGCGTGAATAGATTCAAGATACTTTGAGTGTTTATTTATTTTTAGCTAAATTTGGAAGCTCAAGCAAGTACTGTATGAACTTAGGTCTCTAAATATATTGTTATATTTAAGAGTTACTAGAATCTGGTATATGGTCTTCATTTCTAAAAAGAAAGAATAATGTGACTTAATTTCAGGGTTATTTAGTTTTCCCCAGGTACAGCTCTGGTTGTCAATCTCTCTGTACTTCGTATCAGTTATCGCTCCTATCATTTTCTTAATTCATTCACCATAAGTTAAACCATTCCTTCCAGTCACAATTTGAGTTTCTAAACCTATCAGTCTATGGATTATGAATAAATTGTTTTAGCCAGGAGTCAATTAAGTATTTAATATTTGATTTTCTTTTCCTCTTTCCTTTATCACCTAGTATAATCAACACAATATTGTGATCTTTTGTGCTTCTGATACATTTCTTGTTATTAATAATTTGCTTCGTGGGCACCACAATCCTACTAAACTCATTACCGTCCATTAATGTGCTTTCACCTTTCCCTTTCATTCTAAATTCACCCTGATCTATTTCCAGGACGTTGACCTAAATAGATTACATTATTAGGCTTCCTTCCTCTTTGCTTCAGGAAGATACTTAGAGCCCAGAATGATATTAGAACAAATAAGGTGGTTGAAGTTAGGCACTTAATATACTACAGCCTCCCCGGTGACTTCACTGTACATTGACTTTGCCACAAATGAATGCTTTATTATCATGTCGCTTAGTTTTCAGCTAAACACTAAAATTGGATAAACGAAACATTTCACTATTAAATGGAAATGAAATATTAAGGATTGAATCCAAGTATGTCTAGAGGCACAAGAGAACTGCTTAGTACATGCTCTAACGTGTTTGCTATCTGTTAACAATGTGTGTATATAACCTCCTCAACTATTTCTTTTATCAATCATCTCTTTCTTTTATCAGCCGCCAAGGGGGAAAATAGTATTAATTGCCCACTGAATCCGCCTATTCTGCTGGGAGTGGAAAGTTATTTCAGTTCTACCTACCGAGGTGATGCCATACAATACAGGGCTGATAAAAATTTCTCTCAGTGAGAAGAAGTTCAGCTGACATAATCACACACATATTTGCAATATATCATATATAAGTGCTCACTATTTATTTATTTATTTATTTATTTATTTCACTAGTTTTAATTAATTCACAAGCAATATCAAAAATGATGGCAAGCTGCCTATAATCTTACATAGAAAAAGAAACATTGATGGCAGGTCCAGGGAGGTATTGGTTAGTCTTCCCCTAATAGGCACAAAGTCTGATATTACATGTGTACCACCACCAAGGCTTTCGATAATCACAACGACAAATTAAACCATTCCGTAGTTTCCTACTCATTTTCCCCTAGGCAATATCAGCGACTGTTCAAGAAGTACAGGAGAATCGTGTTAATGGGATGGAGAATATTTGTGGATGTGGCTACCAGTACTGGTGGATGCTAAAGGTGTCAAAAGAAGAGGCAGCAGCACGGTGTGATGCCCAGTGTGTCACCATTCTGGTTTCAGCAGAACTGCCTGATACAGGTGGGACTTGCTCTCCATACGCACTCAGTAGACAGCCCAGCACACACTGCCACGGCACCCTTTCAGCACCAGAAGCGGTAGTTTGTCGATGACTCAGGGAGCATCAGAGATTTGCACACTTTGTCACGTCCCTGCAAGCAGAGGAGGACTGCAGTGAGTTTGCCACTACGGAATTCACTGTTCTCATCCACCATCCGACACCCAGGAACAAGCATCTTGATGGAATGCATGAGTGGTAGTCTAAACCTCAACCAACTTTGTAGTTGAAAGATAAAATTGAATATAAAATATAGAAAACCTACCTACAATACATAGCAGTGCCCGCCAGAAACCGATTTATTATCAACAGGCAGTCAGATCAGTATCTGGAGGAATCTGTCCAGGAGGCAAACAATAGCCCCTGTAGGACTAGATTAAAAAAATGATAAGGCCTTGATTGATAATTGGAATGTTTTCCAGTTTCTTATTTTTCTGCTTCCAGGTCAGGACTATTCATATTTACACTGCTACCTACTTCTATATCTGTATCCATCAAAGTCATCCTTAATCAAAAATGAGGCTTCCAGCTTTGAGAAGGTTATTTACTTGTGGACATGGACTATGCTTCTTCTGCATGCCCCAATTTTCTCTCTCTTGGGTGGAATAATGAGAGCCAGATGGGACAATGCCAAAGCACCTGACCTATCGTAGGACAGACACCCTGCTTCTAGTCAATCCCAAGTACAAATTCCCGTGCCAACAGACTGGCACAGGGCTGCAAGGGAAGCTTTGCTTTTGCTCCAATGTAAAGATTTTCTGCACCTTGGAGCCTTTGCCAAATGTTACTGACAGTGCCTGGCTTCTTTCACAGTAAGCTCCAAATAAATGCTTCCAGTTGTTCTGCTCGGTCTGTATTTATTCCCATAGTAAAAACCTTCTCCAGTTGGGGACCTACGTAGCAAGGTGACTCCTTTAAAACAACTGCAGAAATATAGTCCTGTCTCTCATGGTCAGAACGAATGCCTGATTCCCTGCAAGCTGAAATTTCTTCCTGACTGTTTTGGATTCTCTTGGATGCCCAACCCAGAAGCGGAGACATTTATGAGTCTACTAGATAAAGTGGAAAAGAAAAAAGAAGAAAAAAAAAAAGCCTTCGATGATGTTGGAGTCATTAACAGTCCCTACGTGACTACTTTCAAGCAAGTAGAGTAGAGATTGAAAGTATAAAAGATAGCAATGTTTACTAACTTTGTCTTTAGGTTTTATCTTTTATTAAAAACAAAGCCCTAGTATTGCACAGCAGCATTTTTGCACGTGTATATTTTCTTTCTCCTCTGATTTTATATGAAGAACGACAATGCCGACTATGAGCAAATGAATGTCATTTCATAAGTAGAAATTACTTGGTGAATTCTATGCATTCTTTGAAGACAAACTTTTCTATAAAATTAAGAGTTAGAGTGCATAACATAAGTAAGGTACCGTAGGGAAGAACGGGAAACGTCAGAGATCTCACCGAGCATTTCCATACCGCCACTTAGTATCTTATCATCAGCATCATTGTTAATACAAAAATAAAATTTTTGATGCTCAGCATGGTTTTAAATTACTCACAATAAATATTAATGCTGATTCCATGGACTCCTTTTTCAGGGTGACAAGAGCGTTAGAAGAGATGTTGTCCTGTATAACCGAATGGTGTTATTGGTGAGGAAATCTGGGTGGTTGATAGAAAAAGGACAGCCATTCTTCTTATTCCCCTCCCCATTTGAGTAACAAGGAGAGAGCAAACATCCCAGTGTACACAAATTATAGGGTAAGAAGCTAGAGTTCTTACAGTTGGCAATACAAATAAATGAATTCAGGGAAATTTAGACTGGTGTCTTCAGCCATTACACTTCTACCCAGAGATGCAAGGCTAGGTTCCTTGTACACTTCATCCCCACATTCACACAATGTTCTCCTTAGGATGCTAACAAAGCAGAGGGAGGACAGGAGGAGCTGCCCTGTCTCACTTGTGTGCAGGTTGCAGTAACAAGGTAAATGCAAAGCTCTGAATTTACAAACTGGGAGGAAACTTCACTCAGACTGTGCCTTTAAATGGCTTCCTCTCTGTGAGGCCCTTTAGGTCTGGTAATAAAGGACAGTAGCTCTTTCCCTCGATGCACTCTCTCCTCATAAACTAACCTTTCCTATTTTCATTACTCTCACCCTTCCTTTTGCACTTAGAGTTACACATGAGAAACTTCCATTGTATTAATCCACTGTACTGCTTCTCAATGCCTTGCGGTTTCCTTATGCACATGGATATACATATATATTTTAGGATAGTCCCTTATAAATACACTCTTCTTATAATATTTTAAGTAAGCCATCTCCTTCCTCATTGTGTTTGAGTGGGATGCGGAGGGTTTGGAAGGAGGAAAGTACAGGAAAATAGGAAGAGGAAGTGGGCGGAAGGAAAGGACTCTTGTTACTCCTCCTAAAAATCACTATTCCCATTGGATTCGGACCCAGCATTATGATTTCTTACAAGCTTAGTTAAGTTTCCGTCTCCAACCAATCACCCTGAGCCATCAGGAGGTAAAATATAGATTTGGAGAGACTTCAACATTTACACCCTGACAGAAGACTTGGCAGTGCTTCTGGCCCCTCGGCTATGGTCTGATTATCCGAGGAGGCGCAGTAACATTGACTCAGTTAGGCAATAGGGTGATACAAATTTAAGACCTTGACCTTTGCTTTTTATTTTGAGAGTCCTTGTGTTTCATGCACTGCAGTCTACAGTATTATGGCAAGAATTTATTTCATATATCCATTCCACCTTATATGTTTAACTTATTTTCATGCAATATGCATTATGTTATTCAGAGCATATTATTCATTGGTGAAGTATGTTCACCAGTGAATTACTAAACAAGATTTTATTACATCAAGTCATGTTTCTAAAGTGCAAAAATATTTATTTTAGAAATAATTGTTAGCACAACATTGGAAGACTTTGTATCAAATAGTTGATTAACACATGCCATTTGGAGAATTTTTTTCAGGTTTCTAAAATGTAATATATTTTTATGACCCTGCTAACTATTGAAATTAAACAATCAAATTCTTTCATAAACATTTAAAATTTTAAAGCAAAATAATAACCAGGAAATAAAACTCACCACACTCCACCATCTGCTTGCATTTCTATTTAATGTGCCAAATCATAATTTCCAGAGAGAAATAGTTCTTCAAGCTTCACAATTAAACTTTAAAACATGAACACATTATTTATAAATTACTAATACTGACTGAGATGTTATTAGTTAGTTAAAACTAATAATTGCTTGAATCCTAATTGTGAAATAAAAAGTACGTCACAAACGGGTGTAAGAAAGTGTTGTATAATCTTCACAGGTACATATAAGGAGTCTTTTTAATGTCAATCCTGTGTCAATTTATCAACTGGTCGTATTGTCCTTCATAAGCATTAAATAATAATTTCCTGTAATTACTCCATGAACTGTAATAATGTACTTCCCTGGTAGCAGTACAAGGAGCTCTACTGTGACTGCTAAGCAAGATTATTACTTGATAGACTAAGGAACCCCTAGCAGATTAGCAAGCACACTTCTATGTGTGTCTGGGTGGGCCATGAGAACATGGGCCATACCTGGTTCCTAGCCCTTGCCTCTCCAGGACTCTTCACCTCACTCTGCTTCCTGGATGGCTGGAGTTGAGGAGCTTTCCCTCTCTATGCCCTTTTACCACGTTGTTTCTACATTGGACCCTGCCAGTCACTGACCTAAAATTCTGAAACTTTGAGTCAAACTAACCCTCTCTTCCTTTAAGGTGAAAATGTTGGGTATTTTTTCCCAGCAACAGGAAAGATGACTAATACAAGGACTAATTAAATGTTCATCTATTTGTAAAAGATACAGAAATATCCACAGCAAATATATGAAATGCATTGGGCCGAATAAGACAAATAATAGAAAAATATGAGAAAATGAAAAAATGGAAATGAAGTGTTTGTAAAGGGGGAGGGGAGGAGGGGGTGAAGGGAGGGCAGGGACAAGGGGGAAAAAATGAGAACCAAGACCTGTCATGTAAAGGTACAAGATCCCATTGATGAATGTAACTGTACTGTATACCTAAAATGTACCAATAAACTCAATGAGGAAAAAAAAAAACAATAGGTGCATGGATATCACCCTCATCTCACTGAGTTTTAAATGGAATTTCTTGAGAATAGTTATTTTGTGCTTTGCCTTTAAATTTATATATCATGAAGTGTCTCTGCTGGGCTGCATTTTTTTTTTCCAGCTTGGATATCCTAATTATGGATTACCTTCACAAAAATTGAACTGTGTCCAGGGTGGAAGTAATCTTTAAGGGTAGAGGTCAGTGACTGTTGGAGTCAGCTAGCATAGTCTAGATCAGAATTCAGTTCCATTCCAGGAAACATTTATTATAACTACAGCTAAATATGGCATTGCTTCAGCTTGGCAAAAAATGATAGAATGCCACCTGTAAATATTAATAGTTTCATCTTACAAATACATTTCCCTAGATACATTTAGATTTATCAAAAAGATTTCTAGAATTGTTACTCCATGGCAGGAAGCATATATTTAATGTAGTTTCTGAGTTGAAGTATTATAAAAGCATTTTCACACCTCTAAACATTTTACGAGATCTTTCAAGACACCGTAGATCACTTCAAGTTTCTGTAAAGTATTTCCCTTGCTTCTGTGTAAGGCTCTGAATTTATGAATGCTTTCTCTTGTGTACCTTTTTGCTGATGAGCTTATGGCAGAAATTTCATTTATGTTTATTTTTTGTCACTCTCTATTAGAGAAAAGAAAAATTAGGGTCCTGGTGTCCACAAATTCAAGAAAATTTAACACACAGCCAGAGTTTATGCTGTTCCTGTAGTTGTAAATATCAAAACAAGCCTTTGTAGATTATTTTCCTATACACTTTGTATGAGCTTTTTTATTTCAGAGAATCATGTATCAATTTCTCCATTAGGTTTTTATTATATCCATATATATTTACTTTTTTCCATTAATCCATATAACTCCTGGGACCTAGATATAGGGATATATATGTAGATATATGTGATAATAAATAATATATTTATCACATTTCACAGTGAAAAACCAAAAATAGTTCAGGACAACAAATATGTATTAATATTCTATAAATAAACCACATATAATTTACATTAGTCTATATTTTATAGGACATCATAAACCAAAATTATTTTCTGTTAATTGCTAATTTTGAAAGTTAATTGAGATTATTTTATATTTTTATTCTAAATGTATTTCACATTTGAAATGGCTGTACCTTTTCCTTACTTATTATATATGTTCTTGTTAGCCATAGAGCCATTCTATTTTGCTTTTCGTTCATTTGTTTCTTTTGGTTGTTTGGCTTATTGTTTTATTAAATAAAGTTGTTTTTATACTAATGCATTTGAGAAAATATAAAAATTTCTTGATTTTTCTTGTGTCCTTTGAAATTTCATATCTCTAAGGCATTTTCTTTACAGTTATTTTCCATATTTTTAGATATAGAATACTTCAAATTCATGCAGTTTCTAAGTAGATCATAATTTTAGGAAAACAAATTATTATTCTTAATAGTTTGATTCTAAATTAGTCTTTTTTCCCAATTTACTGTATATAATACATAATACAAATTATATAATAGTATATAATAAATCAGGTAGAAATAAATTATATAAATAATGATCATATATCTCACATTTGATTTATTTATTCATCATTTTATGCATATGTAGGTCATTTCTGTAGCTTAGTTATTATGAATTGTGTTGCTATAAATATGAATGTGCATGTGTTACTATAATAAGATATTTTCAACTTTTTTAGCAAGAAACCCAGGAAATACAGCTGGGTAACATAAAACTTGAAATAATAAGAGAACAAAAAATGGTTAATCCATAAGTGTCTAGATGACTCTGAAAGACAAACCTAAAGACAAAGATCTAAAAACTGAATTTGCCTACATTAGTGCAAAAAAAAAAAAATCCAAACCTAGAAAATGAAATGTATATCCAGGCACAGAAGCTTGTAGAATTCCAGATAGACATGACCAGAAAAGAAATTCTCCATAATCAAAATCATAAAATTTCATAATAAAGAGAAAATATGAAAAAGCTATTTGAGAAAAAAAGACAGTTTTTTTTTTTTCTGTATCAAGGATCAAACTCAGGACTTTGCACTTGTCAGGCAGGCATGAGCACTACTGAGCTACATCCCTGGCCCAAGAATTTAAATTATAAAGGAAAACCTACCAGAGTAACAGCAGATTTCTCAATACAAACATTAAAGGCCAGGAGGGAATGGAGTGAAGTTTTATATCCCATTAAAGAAAACAAATGCAAATGAATATTACTATGACTATCAAAAGTATCCTTCACATTTGCTGGAAAAATAAAGATCTTCCAAGAAAAAGAAAAATATATAGAAATTCTTGACCACTGTCTTGGGTACTTTTCCCTCATTGCTGAGACAAAGTGCTGGATCCTGACAGTTGAAGGAAGAAAAGTTTATATAGCTCACAGTCTGTAGAAGTTCCAGTCCATAATCGGATGGCTCCAAGACATTGTGACATCACAGGCAGGTATCACAGAGGAGAATCAGTTAATGGTGGGCAGAAGCGAGTAAAGCATCGAAGGATGATCACAGCTCTTTCTATCCCTCATATTTATGGACTGGAACTTCTACATATATTTCTTGCTTTGCCTATTTGATTTGGTCTGTTGGGCCTCATGGTGTTATGACCTTCATTGTGTTTTTCTAGGATATTCTTTGGAATTCCTTGTAGTGCTGCTTTGGTGTTCATGAAGTTTCTCAGATGTTCTTTGTCATGGAAGTATCTTATTTCCCCATCCATTTTGAAAGAGACTTTTGCAGGATACATGAGTCTAGGTTGGAGGTTGTTTTCTTTTAGGACTTGAAATACCTCATCCAGGCTCTCCTTGACCTGAGGGTTTGTGTTGAAAAGTCTTCTGTGATTCTGATGGGCTTTCCTTTGAATTTGATTTGTTTCATTTCTCTAAGTTCTTGTGGTATTTTGTTCCTCTGCAGGGTTTCTGGGATCTTGATTATTATATGTCTAGATGTAGATTTTTTAGTTTTAATCATGGCTAGTTGGAGTCCTATATTCCTCACTTATCTGTATGTCAAATTCTTCCCCTCTTTTGGGGAGGTTTCTGTCATCAATTCTGTGTACAGCTTTTTAAAGTCATTTCTGTTTTTTCCTGCTACTTCATGCAGTCTTATCAGTCTTATGTTATTCTTCTTTGCATCATCTAGGAATTGTTGGATTGATTTCTCATGGTCCTTTACTGATTTTAAGAGACCTCTCTTTTCACAGTCACCAACTGCAATCCTATCTTCTATGTCTGAAATTATATCTTCACTTTCATATATCCTGCTGCAAAAACTTTCAAGAGTGTTTTTAATCTCTTGAATATCTGTTTGAATCTGTTTCATTGATTCCATTTCTTTCCTATGTTGGGCATTCACAATTTCCATTTCTTTGTTATGCTGAGCCTTCAAGGCTTCTATCATAGCCCTGAGCTCATCTATTTTTCTGTCAGTTTCTGTTCTAGAGTATCTAATCATGTCTTTCCTTGTGTTCACCATCTTTGTAGTTACCTGGTAAATTATTTCTGTTTGAATTTTTCTAGTACCTGATTGATCTGTTTTGTTACTTCCTGTACTATGAGTTCAGGGTGTCCTAGTGGTTCACTGTCAGACTTTTCAACCTCATTTGCTGTACTGTTTGGCATTGGTGAATTGAAAATCTGTCTTTGTGTCTTGCTTAAGTGTTTCCTCATTTTTATTTTTGTTGTTGGTTTAAACTTCCTGGGTTATTACTTTAATCTTTCCGATATAGTTGTGCTTAACTTTTAAGTCTATAATAACTCATAAACATTTTCATTTTCATAATATCAGAAAAGACAACTCATTAAATCAATCACAACCCTTTAGCCCAATTGATTCAAGCAGCAACACAATAGGATCAAGCACAACTTACAAATTGACCATTTGTGGTAGTCATTAATCTATCACCAATAAACCATGTGCATTAAATCAAAATTAAGAAGCAGCCCAAAACATGTTTACAGTGAATAAACTCTTCAATATAGCATCTTTACTATTTAGGATGGGGGCTTAGGTAGAGTTAGGATGAGATGAGTAGGTAGGTAAAAGAATTGGAGAAGGTTTCAAATGAAGCTAGAGGACACAGGACGACAACACAAACTTTAGGAAACTGTTGAAGTTTAAAGGGGAAGACAGAGTGTAAGAATAAGGACAAGAATATAACAACTTAAGAGTAATAGGTGCACACTTTCTTTGAAACTATTGACCCTTGAGTGAAGTAAAATGAAAGAAGAAAAGAAAGTAAAGAAAGAAGAAAAAACAATAAAAGAAGAAACCCAAGTTAGGGCAGGAACAAGAACAGCAGGGGAGTTGAGTAATACTATTGGGGAGCAAGAGACTGAGTTGGAAAAACAAGACAGAAAAAAGAATTTGCCGAGTGGAATGAGGAAAAGAAAGAAGAAAACGAATTTGAAAGGCCTCTTTTAGACTCTATCTCCGCTGTCACAACAGGTAATGTGTGTAGAACTAAGTCCTTTAGTCTCAGCTAGCCAACGGCTGACCCCTGAGATTCAGGCTGAATTTGGGCTTCAAGGCCCAAATTGAGCTCTCTGAAATCCTGCAAGGTTGAACTCTGCATGGTTCTACTACAGGTTCCCTCTGCCCTTTCTCTGATGATATTTAAAGTTCTGCTGAAAGGCAGTGATCTCTCCAACTTACCAACAATGGAGATCTAATGGGCCTTTATTGCAATTGTTCACTTCTGTTCTATCTTCTGGAGCTCAGAAAAATGATCTTTATGAGCGTCTGTGCCTTGGTTTTCTTGAGGCAAGCCACAGTGAGGACATGATCTCTGCATGGCTATCCCAGAACTCCACCTTCCGCCTTCCTGTAAAGTCACTTTCTAATTCAACAAAAACTGTTCAAGATTACACACACTTTATTTTAGCTGTCTCTCATTTTGTACTGCAAGTTTCAATTAAGAGTGTGAGTCCCATACCTAAATGTACCAGTATTTTGTGCCAAAATTACATAAATTACAAATAAAATCCTGGCTCTGCTAGGTCAGGAGAAAATAAAAGAAAACAGAAGTAAATTATTCTGAACAATAAAGAAAAATGAAGATTTTAGCAATATATTCTGTAGCTATTTAGAATTTCCTCTCACAAGAAAATGCACTTTTTTAATATTCATGGTAACTCAACACTGTTTTGGGGCATTAGTTTTACACATTCTTCATTTACATGCATTTCCATACTCAATGATTTGAGATAGTAAAAGAAGTTATTCTTTTTGTGTTATAACCTATATGATAGTTGATCATTTCTGAAGCTGGGGTTCACTTCAACCTGCATATTACCTTATTTGCTAATGAACTTCCTACCATTTCTTCATTTTATATAGTATCTTTATTCACTTTAATTTGCTTTTCTTTTATTCACTTATAATTATTTTGTTACAGTTATATATATATATATATATATATATATATGGGAGGATATATATGTGTGTGTGTGTGTGTGTGTTTGTGTGTGTGTGTATGAATAACCATTTTATATAGACACAAAAGAAAGTGATCAAAGATTCTGACTTATCTGATTTTGGAATATGCATGAAACATATCTTTTTAATTTTCTGTCAGCAAAATTAAAACCAAATTGACCTATTAATATCAGTTATTTTCAGTTCATTGTATTTAGAATTCATAATTTATTATATTTTAGAAGTATGGAGTGGGTCCATATCCAGCCTATATCCCTCAGTAGATAATACCTTCAACTACAAGTTAGTCTATCTCTCAAAAACCTTATTTGTGAAAAAAGGAAATGTTACTACCTCTCTTGTAGAGTTTGGTGACAGTGAATTTTGATATTGCATATAACATGAGATTAGGGCCTACAAATATTTATTATATTGGGTAGGATTTTACTCTATTTTCTCTGCAACCCTTCTTAAGAGTAACATGTCACAGAACATGCCTGAATGTATCCCTAAGTAGTCCAGTAGGTTGAAGAGAGTTTGTCAAAAGTAAGTAAGTCTAACAAGAAAGGAATCATATTCTGTGGGGTTCTACAAAAAATGAGCTCATCAGTACTTTCACTAAGTTCAATGTTTCCACAATTTTTAAGAAAAGCAATGAATACTGAAAGCGATGCCACTGCCAGGCCTCAGATATTCCTTTATCACCAGCCAAACTCTGGAATCCTGTCTCGATTAGAGCCCCTCCCATACAGATTCCTGTTCAAAAAATAATATCCAGCAGTGTTCTCTTAATGGTGCCAGGTACTTCTGTATCAGATCTTTGCTCTGTGTGTTACATGTAAATTGCTTTCATTAAAATACATTATCTAGTTTTAAAAGAAGTAGAAATCTCAATAAAGAATCAAGTACAACTTTTAGTTATAATATCTAATTACTTCAAAAAACTTACTTTTGTCTCCCATTTCCAACTCTTTAGGTGGATACAAAGGTTAGAAAAAGAAGAGAGGAAAAGAGAAGGAAGGAAGGAAAAGAAAGGTATGTACTTCTAAAGGAGCAAAACAATAAGAGGAGTATGTAATTTTGGGGTATTTATTATACAAAACAAGCGCCAGCATTCATCATGGAACAAATAGAGAATCAGTGAAAAGTTAACTGATTTTTACTTAGATAATTGCTACCTCATGTTAAACATAATGTTTTTATGCCAACTTCAAAATATTACTGATAACCATCGAGTTATCAGGAAAATAAGAATACGGTGACAGTTTAATTTTTTTGTTCTTTCTGTGTTCTAGATATTAGCCTTCTGTCAGAGATATCACCTGGCAAAAATGTATTTTTGTTGTAGTCCACGAGCCTGCTCACAGAATAAGTTTCGGGAGCTCAGAGTAGGAGGGTAAGGCGTGGAATCACCAAGCCGACTCCAGGGAAGTTTCTGGAACTCTTCCACTTTAGTCAGTAAATGCACACGCTTATTTAGGACAACCATGGGGAGGAGCATGGGTCGAGCATTTAACATTTGGCGATATCTTGTTGGAGGCACTGTGGAGTGATTTTTCTTGGGTGAGGGGAAGGAGTCAGTACTAGGGGCGGAGGTGTAGCCTGTTGGACCCAGCATCTACACACTTAGGCGAGTTAGCTCAGCCTTAGCAAGATCTCCGAGTTAGCTCAGGAGACAGGAGTGCTGCGCACCTGGCCCACCCAGGCTTAACCGATCCCACATTTTCTCTTTTTGTAGGTTGCCTCTTCACTCTGCTGATTATTTTCTTGGCTGTGCAGAAGCTTTTTAAAGTGATACAATCCCATTTGTTGATTCTTGATGTTATTTCTTGTATAATTGAAGTTCAATTCATTAACTGCTTGCCTACACCTATGACACCAAGAGTTTAACCTGTCTTATCTTGAAGCTGGTTAAGCATTTCTGTCTTAATATTTGGAAATGTCAACCATTTTAATTTTAATTTAAAACATGGGAAGATACATACGTCTAACTTTAAATTTCTTTATGTGGATAGCCTGTTTCCCCAGCTCCATTTGGTAAAAAATATGATTTCCTCCAATACATTTTTTGGCCCCTGTGTCAAAGATCAAGTGATCGAATGTGTCTGAGGTTGTTTCTACATCCTCTGTTCTAGTCCATTAGGCCCTCCAAAATGAAAGACCCAAGCAAAAACATGGGTAACTGAAATGACCACACACTTCTCAGAAGAAGTACAGATTGACAATAAATACAAGAAAAAATGTTCAACACTGGTCTCTAAGGAAATGCAAATTAAGACAACACAGATCACATCTCTCTCCAAAAAGAAAGGAAATTATCAAGAAATCAATAACAAAAGCTGGCAAGGCTGGTTGGGTAAAGGGATCTTTCTACATTGTTAAGGTAATGTAATATAGTACAACTTCTTTAGAAACAGTGTGGATTTCCCTCAAAATAAATAGAATTTCCACTTTATCCAGCTATTCTCCTTCTAGTTATCTTTGGAAAACAGTTAAAGATGTCATATCACAGTGATACACTCATGTTCATATTTACAGCAGCACAAATCATGACAGCTGAATCTTAAAAGTGGCCTATATGAATGGATACATAAAATGTACTCTCACACAATGGAATCTGCATAAAGAAGGGTAAACTTTAAGAAAATGGAAGCACCTTGAATCTGTAATGTTAAGTGAAATTAGACACACAAGCTTAAAAATCATGTGGTTTCTCAGGTGTGAGATATCCAAGCCGTAAACAAACAAAAGATCAAAATAAAAGACAATGGGAAATAGGGAGAGATCTTTGGCAAACTGGATAGATACAAAAAGCGGGAGAGACGGAGATAAGGGTTGGGGACATAAAAAGTAATAAGATTTGTCATGTGCCTATACTGAAAGCATGTAATGAATGCATTCATGATGTAATTTAATGTGTACTAATAAAAAATATTACTTAGGTAGCTCACTAGGGAAAATTGTGCATTGCAAATGAAAGGCTCTGAATTCAATCCCTAGAATTTCATTCTCCAAAACGATTACATAAGTATGAATAAGTTTTCTTTCTGTGAAGTAGCTCTTGAAAATGTCACCAAGGTCTATCAGCATTCCAAATCAATGAATGCATTACTATTTGCATAAGTCATGTCTTGTAATTATGTCTAAATAATTGGACACTCTTCACTTTTTCAAGTGACATTGACCTTTAATGTGAAGACATTAATATAGCCCTCAGCACTGCCTAGCAATGATCTGCTGGTCTCTTCTTGTCCTTGACTAATGACTCATCTCACTGTAACTAGAACGCAAATTACGCATGCTCAGTTTCTACTTTTCTTCCTCGTTTGTGTGTGTGTTTATTTACATCATTTTTTGTTTTGGTTTTTGGTTTTGTGGTTTTTTTTGTGTGTTTTTTTTTTGCCATTGGTTAGGCTTCCCAGTTTTCTCCTCTGAGAAGAGCAAGAAAACCAGCAAGCCTTGGGTCCTAAGAAGAAAGGATCATTGGGATTCACCCCCTTTCCTCATTTCCTTGAGGAGAGTCCTTACCCAGTGTACCTTAGGATCACGTGCCACGTCCTCACCATGGTTGTTGTCATCACATGGAGGAATGAGAACCAAATAAGAGTTCTAGAATAGAGAGGAAGGGATTCAGAGGTTTTATTCTCTGGCCAGTGCCACCTGACACCTTCTGAAGAACATCGAGGCTGGTGGCAGCGTAGCAAGCACAGAGCCTGGGTGGGGGAGGAAGAGTCATGGCCAGAGCTCAGTCTGGACAAAACCAGAGGAATCTGCCTATAGGATGGTCGGTCCATCAGTCAGACAGTCAAGTCAGTCAGCCTATGGGTCCACACTCAGGAATGCAGAAACAAATGAGAAAGGAAATGAATGTAAATATTAAGATTCCTGGCTGGGAATTTAGCTCAGTGGTTCTGCCACTTGCCTTGCAAGTGAAATGGTCCCTAGTTCAATCCCCAGGACCCCACCCCACCAAAAAAAACCCGGAGACCCATCATAGGCAGGCTGGCAGAGAAGCTCACACTGTCACCCAAGGACAAACACAGGACAAACAAGAGGAGGGAGAAACAATAGCAACCACAACCACCACCACCACCACCACAACTGTCTATGTGACTTTCCAGAACAGCGCAAGTGGTGTTTGGCAGACACAACGTGCACTTGACCATTGCTTTTACCCTCTTTTTCTGTTTACTTGTTCCACGCTCACTCTGCAGAACCAGTTTCTCCCACACTTCACTTTTTCTTTTCAACGAATAAAACAAACAAAACACAAAACAAAAACCCCAAGCAAGGGAAATAACTTCACCCATCTGGACCAGAGAGCAGAGGTGGCTGAAAGTGAGGGTGGGTGGAAAGATTTGCAGAAAGAAGCCTGAGGCTGAGGCTCGGTAGGGTTATCTCTACTGGTGGGGGGCACAAAGCTCAGGTAAAGTAAGTTATCAGCCAAAGCAAAGAAGCAAACAAAAATTCAGGAGGAGGGGTTGGTAGGACACAACCCTAGGACCTCCTGACTGCAGAGCCCACGCTGACACACAGAATCAGTAGGTTTATTGCACTTTTCAGATTCTGGCTTAAAATTCTAACATTTGGGCAGAGCTGTTATCTCAGCACTGAAGAGGCTAAGGCTGGAAGTTCCCCAGGAGCTCAGGGCCCCGCTGGACTAATGCACAAAGAGACCCTGTTTTAGAAACACACACACACACACACACACACACACACAACACACACATTTATGCAATGTTTAAAAATTTATTTTTAGAGGCCAGGGATTTAGCTCAGTGGTTTTCCTGCATGCCTTGCAAGTGCAAAAACCTAAGTTTGACCCCCAGTACCAAAAAATAAAATAAAATAAAAGATTATTTTTCTTTGTTAGTTTCTAAGTAGCATAAGGACCAAGTTAATGCACCATTTCTTCCTCTCATTAAGCATTATGAGAAATCAGGCCCACTCCAATCATGAAAATTATCTAAGAAATAATTTCTGTGATAGTTGGATATGTAACCTCAAACTTGTTCTTTTGATCTTTTAAGTTGGAAGCATTTGCAGTTATTTTATGATTTTATAAGCTGTCACATGTGTCTTTGCTTTTATCTTGTGTTACTATAATCTTTTTTCTTGTTGCAATTAAAATTTTACCTCTTTTGTCACAGCATTCTGTTGTTTTAGAGCAAAACATAAATTTTCTATTTGATTTTAGAGTCCTTTTCATTGTTGTTTAGCACAGCAAAGATACCACATAACCAGTCTTTGGAATTTTACCTTACTAAAGTAACATCGGTTTGCACCTAAGATTCATCTCAATTTCACAGTAATTTCAAAATTTCTGTTTCACTGTGCAGTTTAGCTTATTTATTTGGTTTTATAAGTTTTCTGATCATTTTTCATTTTTAATTTTTATTGTCCCCTGTTAAATTTATTGGAACATTTCCAGCAAACAGTACAGTTACATTTATAATTGGGGATCTTGTACCTTTACATGGTATGTCTTGGTTCATATTTTTTCCTCATACCCCTGGCCCTCTTTCACCCCCTTCATTTTAAATAGATTTATATTCTTAATGTTATTATTCTTTTACATGTTCTCTCCTGTCTCTTTCATTTAATTTTCATTTGGAGTGGTACAGGCTGCTCAGAAATGAATACTGAATAAAAGAATATACAATGGTGCCTCAGTTTATGAACTGAATTTGTCGCACAGTTTTGTGGAAGATGTTCGTGTTTGTGTTTGTGTGGAGAAGATGGTAGTGGTTATTTCTGTCACCTTACGTAGAGATTGAGAACTGAAACAAAATTGTGCCTGATGCTTCTTTTCATAAATGGAGGCATTACTGTATTACTGTCTTAAAAATTAGCAATAGGAGGAGCAAAAATTCTAGAAGAAACAAGTAAATTTAACAGGAAATATATAACTTGAGAAAGTTGAACAGATATTTTCCAAGGGTATTTCTGTGATCTGAATGCTCACATTGCCTCAAAATCCATATGTTCAAATTTTAAACTCTGAAACGGTAGTGCTAGTTAAATTAAGTTTTCTAAGAGGGTGTAAGATAAAAATGATAGAAGTTTAAAATAAAGGAGAAAAAACAAGTTAACCTATATTCTACAATAGTAATTTAAACCAATGTAATTTTATGAAACAAGGACTAGGAAGCTGCAGGCTTAGGAAATAAAACAAAAGTTACACTTTGTTTAATAAAATATGACTTCATTGAAAATAAATGACATCAGAAGTGCATCATCTGTCCATTTTACAAGATTAAAACAAGACCCTTGAATTTGTTAGACTCAACATGTTTTCTTTCAGCCAAAAGTCTGATTAGTTCAACCCCAAGATTAAATTAACTTGATATTTAATATCTTTTGTAAATCTACTCAAGACAGAAAGGTTTATGTAGGAAGCTTAATCTTGGAGCTTTAATGTAAAATATCAATGCCAAAAAGAATGAAAGAGCTATTTCCTCCTATTTCCTCTGGTTAGCATATTTCTCCCTAGAGATAATATTAAAAGAATCATACCACAGCGATATTTGTGCACACATGTTTATAGGGGCACAGTTTGTAATAGCTAAAACTTGGAAACAGCTCATTCCCCCTTCGGGTGGAGACTGAATACAGAAGATGTGGTTTTCTATAAAATGGGATACTACTCAGCCATATAGAATGAGAAATTAGAGTCATTCATAGGAAAATGGATGCATATTGAGGATATACTCATAACTGAAATAAATAAGTCACACGTGTAAATACCGAATAGTTTCTCTGGTGTGAAAAACTATAATAGTACACAAGATCCTAATGGGATAATTAATAATATGAAATAGGAAGTAAAGGGCTAAGGTGTAGGGAAAGTGGGAAGGGTAGGGGAAAGGGAATAAGGGAAAGTAAAAAAAATATGAGAAAATGAAAAAATGGAAATAAAGTGTTTGCAAATGGGGAGGAGAGGAGGGGGTGAAGGGAGGGCAGGGACAAAGGGAAAAAAATGAGAACCAAGACCTGTCACGTGAAGGTACAGGATCCCAATAATGAATGTAACTGTATTGTATATCTAGATTGTACCAATAAACTCAATAAAAAGAAAAAAATTACACTCCACAGATTTGTAGTAAATTGTATTTGGGTAAAATTAAAAGGCTGTCAGATCAAACTAAGGAAACAACTGCCTCTTGTCCTTGAGAGTTCTAGGGATTTTTAGTAAAAAGCAAAAAGTGAACAGTAGAAAAACCATGGCAGTTATGAGATATTTTTAAAGTAGGAAAAGCTTAAACTAAAGACACTAAAACAATGATATATCTTTTAAAATAAAGCTTTTAAACCAACTGAACTGAACAAGAACCGAATTAAATTTCCTCATAAGTTCAACATTGAACCTAACCATTGAATGTGATTCAGTTCTTGTCCGACTCAGTTTGCAAACAAAATAATTGGAAGAATCAAGTTTGTGTGTTGTCTTAATTACACTTTTGTTGTTAGGACAAAATGAAAATACCCAGTACCCACAGGTTAAAAGAGGAAAGATTTATTTTTTCCTCTAAGTTTCCTCTAAGTTTGTAGAGGTTCCAGTCCATAGTCAGTTGGCTCCAAGGCATGGCAGAGGGACATGCAGATGAGAAACAGTCCATGGCATGGCAGGCAGAAAGCAGCAGTAAGCCACATTTTGCCTTTATATTCATTCTAGGATACAAGCCTATTGATTGGTGCAATCCACACCCATGTTGGGACTTCTGTCTTCAGTACATATATTCAGCCACACCTAAAGTACCTAAGCCATTGAGTGCATTAATCCAGCATCACATACCATTAATATAGTATCACACACCCTAGATCCAGCCACAGCCATCCCCAAGACCCCACCTGTCAGGTATAAGGCTTTGGGGGTCATCTAGACACAAGCATGTATATATAATATATAACACACATATACAGTACTTACACATATTTTATCTGTTACATCGTAATGGTATTATGTCACTATTTTACAACTTAGTCATTCATCATTTTATGAAACAAAAAATTAAAGATTTCTTATTGTTTTTATTCATCCTAGTGTATATGAGAACTTGCTGTACTTTTCTCACATCTGAAAGATAAGTGCGAATTTCTCTTTAGTCACATTATAATTCTATTCGCTCTAATTGTACTTAGATAATGAAGGCTTTTTTGAGTAGAAAAAGATTAGTTGGTTAAAATATAGAAACGACTTTGAACCATCTTTATTTTGAAACTCTAATGATTGTATAGTTTTTTTACTAATAAAATCGTTTTTCCTCAGAAAAATATGTTATATAAACAGAAGCCTAAAATTGTATATTAACAGTCAGAATACAATGGCACAAAGACGAAAATAGTAATTACAATGACAACAGTTCTAGTGGTAGGGACTTGGATTCTTAAAAACAAAATAAAGAAGCTACAATAAGGAGCCATTTTTACTGAATATTATAATGTAACATATATCCAGTGATTTTTTGTTCACTTGTTCTTTTTCATTTTTAAAATGCTTGTTATATCAGTAGCTTAAGATAAAGTAGTGTTCTATAACCAAAAGTTGGTTCCACATTTATCACATAAATTCGTACTGTTTTTCATTACTTTCTAATTATCTCATGTGC